CCTGCGCCTCGGGGAGAGCGAAGCCGCAGCGGCGTGGAGCTCGGGGTGGGCTTGTTGGCTGCTTCCCAGCAGGAAATGACCGTCGTGGTCTGATATCCTGAGACAGCCCAGCGCGGGTGACATTTGACTCAATTTCCAGCCCTGGGGTTCGGCTCCTGTTTGATTTTGCCACGGGGCTGGGGATGAGCAAGGGAAGCCCCGGGCAGGTGTCGTGGAAGCTGCGGGTGCCTTGGGATGGAGCGGGGCTCCCCAGGGCTCCCCAGGGCTCCCCCGGGCAGGTCCCCTCCACCATCATCCCCACGGGACCCGGCTGCTGCCACCCCACTGGTCTTAGGGGCTGGATCCTGCCCAGGTCCTGCTGTAACTTCGGACTAGAGGAGAAAATGCATCTTCTGGGGTGGACTCAGCTGAGCCAGGGCCTCCCCCGGCTCTGGGAGTCCCAGAGGGTTGAGGGGGGTTAAGGTGAACGTGCCACCAACTGTCCCTGCGCTCACGCCATGCCAGGGTGAGCTCAGGGGGGTTTTTTTGGGGGGAAAAGGGCTGGAAATTGAACATCTCTACCAGGGCAGTGCTGCCCTTCACTCTGAGCTGTCGCAGGAGTTGACAGCAGATGGCCATCGCCACAGAAACACCTCTGGCCAGGCAGCAATTAATCACCGAGCTTTGATTGCCTGGCAGTTTTGCAGGGGAAGGGAGGGGGCTCGAGCCTTGCCCTGGGACTGGGGAGGGGGCTGATAGGCAGAAAATTTTGCCTCGAGCTGCAAGTCCTACAAAACAATTGCAGGAAATCTCCTTTTCGAGTGCAGACAAGACTTTGTGATCAACAATCGGCTCGGAAGGAAGGCACAGCCGGAGCGGGGAAGCACGAGGGCACTGATAAGTCGGGTCTCACAACAACAAGCCCAGCGCCGGTGACCCCACACGCAGGTACCCAACCCCAGCAGGACCAAGGTCCTGGGTTGCAAACAGGAACTCGGTGGCTTTTGGGCTGGTCCCGAGCGTGTTTCAGCTCCACACGGGATGGGGGTGAAGGGGTTGTGAAGGGCTGGGGGGGCTTTGCCTCCCCTGGGAAGCCGGGATGTCGTTCTGTTTCCATTTAACAGGTCAGGAAGTTTCCACGCTGAAGTCTCGGATCGAGCACGACCTGGGTGCTGCAAACCTTTGGCATCAGGGTTTGCACAGGGGCTGCTAATCCTGGCGAGGGGAGAGGAGCTGGCTGGGCCATGGGGTGTGGGGCAGGCAGCTCAGCCCCTTCTCCCCATCCCCACCACGATGCTTCAGGGTGCTCCAAGGCTCTCAGCACCCAAATGTGTGCTCAGAAGCCTCCAACCTCCCTAATGGTTCAGTTCCCCCCTTTATCTGGAGATAAGTGGGAAAAGGATGGTTCCTCTCCAGAAAGTGGCTGCTTCCATCCTAGTGGGTCCTTCAGAGCCTGTGCTTTGCTCCAGTGTGAAGTATGGGTCCTGGCCACCCCCAGCCCCACCAATGTGGGGGGACAGCACAGACCTAGAGCAAGGTGGGCTCCAGGCAGCTGCAGCACCAGGGATCGGCTGTTCTCCCACCCTTCCCTCCTTGGGCAGCCAGGACCTACCACCCACCCGGGATGCTGCCAGAGGGATGCGGGCACAGAGGTCCCCAGACACAGTGTCCTTCCCAGCAGCTCAGCCCAGCCCCTCGGGGATGTGCTGGCCTGAAATGTGATGTGCGGGGGCTGCTGGGGACGTTTTACTGGTTTGCTGAGTAAAGCATTTAGGAAAGCTTTCTTCTCTGGGGAAAGAGCTCGGTGAGTTGTAACCTGGGTTGCACAAGGGCCCGACGTGCTGCCTCCCATCCTGCTGTAGCTCCTTGTCCCACTGAGCTCCAGTGCAGCCCGGGGGTGTCTTGGTCTCGTGTGGGCTCAGCCACTGCGTGTGTGGGAGAGCGTGGTCTTTGGGGAGCGGGGCTGTGGCTAACGCTGCTCTTGTCCTGCAGGCAACTGCACAAGCTCAGGGACTTAACCCCCAGCTGATCATCACTCGTCAGCCCTTAATTACAGATATGAACGATGCACAAGCCGCCACCCACGTGCCTGGCTCCCTGTGCCAGAGATGTCATGGGATGATTAATGGTGGCACCTTTTCCAGCTCATCCTCTGGCAGCAGAGCTGAGAACCGAGCCTGCCCCGGCCACACCAAGAACTCGTCCCCACCAGCTTCGGTTTTCTCTGTGCCGGACCTGACCACCCGCTGCCAGCAGAGACTGTGGACAATGGGCTGTGTGGTCGCCAGAGTTGTGCTGGGAAGGGAGTGTTGGCTGCCAGGTCTGAGCCTGAGGTTGCCCATGGAGGAGCTGGGAGGATGCAGGGGAGGGGAGGCTGCGCTGGCGCTGAAGGGTCCCCGAGCAGCGAGGGAGGACGGAGCCGTTTCCAGCCCGTCGTGCTGGTAGGTGTGGATTGTCCCCTGTCTCTGACC